ACACACACACTCACTGACAAGCTCAGCTTGCTTGCCATGCTCACACTCACACATGTGTACAGATACATCCACACATAAACCACACACACACTCATGTTAGCAACACACTCTGACATGTTCAGCTCACACACACATAATTGTACATGGACCCACCTACACCTATCTTCCCATTCATGCTCAGATTCATGCACACATTTACCCGCAGCCTTGAAACATACAGACATGCACAYTTGTGATGTTTACATGCATGTAATGCACACACCCACACACAAAACACACTCCTACATTCACACACATGCACATTTGCACACACACATACACAGCTATGCAGATTTACATACATGCACACAGATACATGCTCACACATGGATGTGTTCAGACACACACACATTCAGCCACTCACACACAGACATACCTGTGCACACCCACAGATGTATCAAACACAACCACACACATGCACACACTCTCACACACACAGTCAGTGCCTGCACACTTTGCTACRTTTTGGATTGGAACGTCCATGTGTTGAAGGCCAGGTGCCAGCCCACGGTGCCACCTGAAGGGGTGGGACCTTGAGGAGGTGGGCCCCCAGGCAGAACGTGGGGTGTGCCCTCCAAGGAGGTGTTAGCACCCAGCCCCTTACTCTCTCTTCCTTTGCTTCCCAGCTGCCACRAGGCAGCTTTGCCCCACCACGCGCCCCCACCATAGTGTTCTGCCTYGCCACACGCCCAAGAACAGGGGCCAGCCACAAACTGAAACCTCCAAAACCGTGAGTCAAAGTAATCCTTTCCTCTTTTAAGTTGATTTATCTCGTGTATTTTGTCACAGTGACAGAAATCTGACTAATACACATACACTCATTCATACATGTCCATAGGCACATTCATATGCACATGTACACTCGTGAATGTTCCCACTACACACAGGCTCACCCACACACATGCACATACCTGCACACAGGGATGTTCATTCATATGTGTAGCATATTCACATGTATGCACACACGTGTTCACTCATGTACACAAACACACATGCACAGGCATATTCTTACACATGCACATGCTTGGCACATGTGTATATTCATGCATAGGTGTGTTCACTGTATGCGCACACTCATGCACTTGTATGCTCACACATATACACAGGCATATTTGCACACATGCACATGCATGCACACGTGTATCTGTGCATGTGCATAGGCACATTCACTGTGTGCATATGTACACTCTTGTAAACTCACACATATACATAGGTGTATTCAGACCCACGGGCACTTGTCCACACTCACATTCCCACATGACACCTGGCTGTCCTGCCTCTTCTACTCCTGCCTCTCCCTCTTGCCTGCAGTGGGACAACTCTCTGAACCCTGACTCAGATGGACCCCAGGCCCTTTGCACCAGAACCCTGCAGGATGGAGCTCACATCTCCTTCCTATTTCTTTGGTGCAGGCTGGGCTGATCCTGACCTCCATTGCTGGGTTCCCTTGCTTAGAGTCAGACAGCTCAGCAGCCAGGGTCTTGCCTGGCTCCCCAGACCAGACGCCAACCCTCCCCATATTGAGGACCCGCTGACTCACAGACCCTGCACCCAAGTGTGCATTYCATGTCAGAACTTACGCTTTGCACAAGGGTCCCACACTCTCCCCAGCCGGCCACCAGGAGCACGTGGGTGCTGTTGCTGCTGCTCACGTTGCAGGAGGGCTGTCCCAGGTACAGGGAGGACTCAGGGATGGCCTCTTGCTGCAGGAAGCGTCTCTGGATGGCGATGGCCACCTTCTCAATCTCGCAGAGCACCCTGACTGCACCCGTCAGGTTCAGCCGCGGGCGCAGGTCCTGGGGGGTGGGCCTGTCACCTGTCCTGAGCGCAGCCCTGGTCCCTGCTGGTGTGGGCAGCTGCTCTGGGCTGGGGGCCTGGGTCAAGTTGCCAGGAGAGCTTCCTGCAGACACAAGGAGACCAAGGGAAAGGGCGGGCTTCTGTGGGGCTGACCTGGGTGGGCAGACAGCTGGGGAGTCGACACCCTGCAGCAGCCACACAGGGAACAGCCAGCTGAGCCACAGTGGCACACGGCATGCTGTGCCAGCCAGCTTTGCACTTGGCACAAGGGGCGCCTGTGGCTGGGGACCTCAGGGGATAATGCAGGGAGGTGCCAAGCCTGTGGCAGGGAAAGTCACCTGTCCCCGGAGGCTGGAAGCTGGCCACTAATGGGCCCTGAAGTCTCCCTTCAGGACCCCATGCCCCTCACCCCTGCCTGGATTCCCTCTTGCCCCAAACACTCCACTGGAACACCCACGAGAACCAGGAATCACGTCAGGCCTCCGAGGCGTACATCGTCCTCAGTGCCCTGTGCTCACGTGGACCCCAGGCCCCAGGCTCCACTCAGCGGCCTCACAGCCTCCTTCCCAGCCCTGCTGGTCTCTGCTGGCCTGGGGGCCGCCTTCCTTCACCTCGRTGGGGCTCACCTGGTGCTCTGCAGCTTCTCCCCCGGGATGTGGAGCAAACTGCTGCGGCTTCTCCAGCAGCCCCCCACACACCCCAGCACCTCGTCCTGCAGCCACCCGACTATGTGCTTGGACCTTGCCCACCTTCAACAGCCTCTCTTGCTCAGTGACCCCCCAACACACCCTGCCACGCTGCCCTCCTTGTCAGGTGCCTCCTTAGCTGCTCCTTAAGACCAGCCCCAAGACTCTCTTCCGCAAGCCCTCCCTGAGCAGGCTCTGGTCGGAGACAACTCGGTCTCTGTGCCTCCTGCTTCTACCCCAAGCGGAGCATGTTGCACACACACCCCACGTGCACACAGGAAACTCGCCCCAGGACAACAAGCCCACTCATGAGAGTCCTTGAAAGAACAGATTGTGGGACRGTGTTCTGGAAAGGGGATCATGACACTGTCACCTTCGCAAGGTCTTCCAGAATATTCCACGTGGAAGTCCGGGGCATCTCCCTGGCAGCTGCAGGTGAAAGACCCAAGGGTGTTCCGGCAGGATGTCCCCGGCACACAATCGTCCTCCTGCCTCTCACACTCGTCATAATCTGAAAGAGTTTAGAGAACAGAACAGGAAACATCGTGGGCCCGCGGGTGACATCGCCAGGCTGATGGCTCACCACGGCCCCGAGGGGAGAGCAGGTCCTCAGAGGCAAAACTGAAACGACCCCAGGAGAGCACACCACGTGCATGTGGCCAGCTCTGGAGGGCACGGGCTGCTGGGGTGGTGGGGAGCTGCTGTCAGTGCGTCTGCAGAGGCTGCCATGAAAGGGGGAGGGTGCCAGCAAGGCAGGGTCGTCCCCCAACCTCTGGAGAGAGCCAGCAGCCAGGCCCCCGATCTCCCCGCGCCCCAGGCCTGTGCCTCCTGCCCTTCCTCCTCACACTTGGCCACTTAGCTACTCAGCAGCAGGCCTGCTGCAGAAGATGGGGGGAAACAGGAAAGCCGAGCACAGAACCCAGCGCCCCCAATTCTGCGAGCTGGCTGATTTCCACCTGGTCTCTTAAGACAGACTCCAGGCCCCGCGCAGCCCAGTGGTAGAGCACTTGCCTGGCCTGGGWGRGGCCCTGGGTCGCAGCCTCCACCGACACCAAGCATATTCCACCTCTTTCCYTCCCCTGTCCTTCCAGCACCTTCCACCCCAGCAAGCCTCGTCTTCATCATGGACAGCGGCATATGCCAGGGACATGATTTAGTACACGTCCTACCCCAGGACTGCTTTTAAAGTGACCCTGAAGATGAATATGTTGTAAAAAAAAAAAATGAGGGCTGGGGACCTGGCCCAGTTGGTAGAGGGCTTGCCTCACATGCACAAGGCCCTGGGTTCAATCCCCAGCACCAAAAAAACATCAAAAACATGGTCCCAACTGAGCCCTGAGAGTCCTGGAAGTGATGCTCCGACGCCAAGGTGGAGGGACCCCTGTGCAGCACTTGGTGTCGACAGCTGACTGATTTCTGAGCAGGGGAGCAAATTCCACCCCCAGCCACCCCTCACCCCTGCTCACGGCGCCTTCACTGGAACTCACACATTACATCATGAAGATTCTTTACGTGTCGTTGAAGGTGACCCTCTTTGTCAGTCGCTTGCGTCTTCTTCTCTGTTTTCTCTCTGGGACCCTGGGGCACCTATCTACAGGGTTCTTGCTATTTGTCGTCTACTTGTGTGGTCTCTCTGAACTTAGGATATTATTCCTCATCAGATTACTGAACATATTTTGCTTGCTTTATAATGGTGCCTTTATTTTTTCTGATGTAGAAGATTTGGGTCTTCAGGGCTGGGGCACGACTCACTGATACAGCCTGGCTCAGCACGTACAAGGCCCTGGGTTCAACCCCCAGCACCTTAGGAAAAAGAATTGTGTATTTATGTAGTCAAGGATTTCAGCCTCTCTTCTGGAAATCCAATTTTCTTTGGTAAATTCTTCTCATTCCAAAAAGTCAGAAAATATTAATCCTCAATTAAGAAGTCTTCAATTTTTCATACATGTAACTCATAGCCATTTAATATCTCTCTCTCTCTCTTTTTTTTTTTTTTTGGTACCAGAGATTGAGCTCAGGGGAGCTTAACCACTGAGCCACATCCCCAGCCCTTTTTAATATTTTATTTATCCGATATTTGATAAGATATTGCTGAGTTGCTTTAGGACCTCGCTAAATTGCTGAGGCTGGCTTTGAACCCCAGCCTCCAGAGCCACGGGATTATAGGCATGAACCCCCGCCCCCAGTTTATCATTTCTTCTCAGGCATGATCAGAGGAAAGAACCTCTTGTCTCTTCTCTCTGCTCTTCTTGCCCCCTGCCCCCACTCGGATCTTCTGGGAGACTGCCTGGGAGGAATCTGGCTGGCGCAGAGGGACGCATCTCCCTCCGTCCACCAAAATGGGCAGCAGGGGCAGGGCAGAGCGACYGCTGAAGGTAGCCCATCCCTGGGTCTCTGCAGGCTCACCTGAGGATGTTTCCAACCCTTGAGCCTTAGCAGTCATGGAGGCATTGAGAGAGATGAGGAGGGGCCCATCTATCCCACACTCCCAGCTGGTTTGGCGGAAAGACCACAGAGGAGGCTCATGGGCACATCCCCCCAAACCAAAGGCAGCAGCCGGGCTCTTGCTGCCCCAGTTCTGAACCTGGGGGAGGTCCCACGGTGCCTAGCCTTCACCTACCCCATATGGAGGCACTGTCCCTGCTSGCTTCCAGCAGAGACGCGTTCTGTAGGGCACAGAGGAACGCCACAGACACCTCCCTGACATCCAGGTCCACGGTCACCAGCAGATCAAACTCCACCACCACGCTGCCATTGGCGATGCTCGTGACGTCCACTCKGATCCCGCCGGAGTCCATGTGCTGACGCAGGGTGGCTGGCAAGGGGTCCCTCACCTGGAGATGTAAAAGCCATGTGAGAAAAGTGGCCTGCTGAGGACATGGGTCACTGGTCCTAAGGGCAGCTCCTCCTGGGGTCCTGCCCSGCTGCACGGCCAGCTCACAGCAAAACTGTCACGGCCACAGGTTGGTTCTGCGCTCCTTTCCTGTCTGCAAGTCCCCAAGCCAGCCCAAACACCTGGGAGAGTCTATGATACTGAGAAGGGTCCTGCTACTCCCCCAGACCCGGTGGACAGGTCAAGCACGGAGCAGGAACACAGGAGAGGACCCTGCCTGTAACATGGGGTTCAAGGTGACACAGAAACCTACAACTCAGCTCAGAGACACAGAGAGCAGGAGCCTGAGTGAGAGGTCACAGGAGCCACCAACCYTCTGCTCCTGACACTGTGGGCTGCCTCCCCTTCCTTCTCCCTCCCCGTGAGCCCACAGCCCAAGCAGRCGCATCTCCAACATTCCCAGTGGGACCCGCAGTTTCCACCTCTGAAAAGCTGCCTTTATGTTCCATTATTTTAGGTGAAATTACATGTCACACACTGTGTTCTCCCATTCCAGCTCACCACGGTCAAAATGCCCAGAGAGACACACACAGCCTCACATTATGCTTTAGTAGTTCATGGAGTGTCAGCCTCTGGAGAAGCACCCCAGGGACCGTCCTCGGAGAACCATGARGTGCAGGAGCCCAAGACACCAGCTCATCGCTTCACTTCCCCACCTCCAAGCCACCCAAGATGCAAATCCACTGTCACCTATCAGAGGCCAACTCCCCCAGAAAGCCCATCCCCACATCTGCCTGGTGGCCCGAATAGCTGTTGTCACTATMGATATGGATGTAACAGTGGGCTTCTTCCGGCCCCTGGCTTCCGTGGGGACGTCTGCTTAGTCCTGAGTCATTGTGACCATGCCAAAYGGATCTCAGGCCCTCCCAGGAGAGGATGATGAGTCTTTTACCCATGGTTTCCATGTTCTGCATACATCTTGCCATACAATTATTTGCTATCCTGAGATTCCAGATTTAAAAAAAATAATAATATTATCCTCAAACACAGGCAAAGAAGGAAATAGTTTAAGGGGAAAAGATTAACCAAGAAACCTAGGGTGGAGATGTGGCTGCCTGTCCCTCCTTGGGCCACCAGGCCACCTGGAAGGTCAGTGTCTATAACTACCCTGTACCTAGAGGAGGTGGTGACGCTCACCATGGAGCCACCACAGGAGCTGGAATCCCGGAATAGCGGAGGCAGGACCCCAGCTCCCCACAGCTCCACTGGGCCAGCTCCCAGAGGCAGCAGCACTCATTACCAGCTGGGGTGCWGAGGGTTGAACCAAATCACCTGTCACACCCACCACTGGGTGGTGCTGCCAACCCCTCTCTATTCCGATCCAATTGCCACTAGGGGGAGGAGACGAGTGGAGAGGGTGAGCGCTGCACCATTCCTTCAAACCAATGTAACCCTAACCAAAACTATGGAGATCTCTCCCCTTGCTAAGTGGGAACAATACGCCCTTAAAAAAGAACACTCTGGGGGTAGCAGGGATGAAGCACAAGAAAGAGTAGGAGAAATAATTTTTGCAAATGCAGGTGACCTAGCRCCATAGCAGCATTAGTCATAACAGGCAAGACGTGGAAGCCAGCCAGGGTCTACCAYGTGGTGTCTGCACAAACAGGATGTGGTCCTTCCATGCAATGGGACAATATAGCCACARAAAGGAGTTCCAAGAATGAACCTTGGAGACGTGGCGCTAAGGGGAAGGAGCAGACACAGACGCCACAGGTTGTGAGCTTCCATTCCAAGAGAGTCCAGAACAGGCAGTCCAGAGACCGAAAGCCCAGGAGTGGTGTCCAGAGGCAGGGGGAGGCAGAGGGGAGTGACTCACAGTGGTAGAGCGTTTCTCTTAAGGATGTTAAAATGATGTGGAATTAGATAGTCGTGATGGCTAGGTAATCTTGCATATATAGTTAAGGTGTGCGCTTGAAAATGTGAATTTTAAGTATGTGAAATAGATCTCAATTTTTAAAGTTTTTGGTTTGTGTGGCTCTTTTTAAGCAGGGGAGGGCCTTTCTGCTCCACGGGGTCCTACAATGAATAGCAAACCGTGTGAAGCCAAGATGTGCAGGGGACAAAGTGTGTCTCCCTTCTCCAGATGGGCCTGTGCTGGTCTGGGGGACACCAGGGCCATGCCAAAGCTTAGAGTCCCAGCCACCTTCATATAAAAGGTCCYCTGCAAGTCTGATTCCTGGTGGGATGAGGCTGGAGCGCCCTTGGCCTCCCAAAAGGACAGAAGGGCCTGCCGCCCACTCACCCTTCTGAAGAAGAGCTCCAGGAAGCGCTGGTGCTCCGTGCTGCTTGAATTGCACAAGGATTCTGAAAACCTGACGTTTGCTAGTCTGACTTTGCCGCTGAGTTTCTGGGCGGCTGCAGGATGGAGAAAAGACATATTTGGAACAGCAATGCTGCAGGTCRCAGACTGTCATTTCCGTCTCGTGGCCATATTTCCATGTTGGCCAGAACACCAAGCCAAGGCCAAGCTGTGCTCCACAAAGAAAGAACCAGCCCGACACTGCAGACACAGCCCACGGGCCTCCAGAGTACGTGGGACAAGGGGAGAGCCTCCCGGGGCRGCAGGACCAGCTCAGCCCTGCCACTCTTCCTGCACAGCTGCCTCCCTCAGGGCTGTCACCTGCAAGCCAGGACAGCTTTGAGAGCAAAGGGAGACTCCAGCAAATAATTAGGCCAGGGCTACTCTGCAGACTGGTGTCCCAGGGAACCAGGACACAGGGCTCTGCTAGGCCTCTGATGAGAGCCTGCTCCATGGCAGGGAGCCGAGGTCTGGTTTGGTCAGTGTCCCCTCCCCTCACAGCCCCTTGGCTCCAGGTGTGTGGCAGTCCCACTGTGGTGCCATCTGAATCTCTGCCCTCCATGGGCCTTCTAGGAGTACACCGGACATGACGGCGCCCAGGAGCACTGTCCAGAGGCATCCTGGCTTTCAGCACTYGGACGCATCCCTCCTTGTTCAGGCCATCACCACATACTTGTGAAGCACTCGCGACACGCCAGGGTGAATGGCAGTGAGACAGGACAAGCTTCTCCTCTTGAGGGCTTAAAGTGTGTCCCCTGAGAGCTCTGGGTCTTTATACACACCACAAAGCTGTCCAGCTGCACATTCCTGGGTGAACCCCAAGCCCCATGTCCTGGGGCCATTGCTGTCACTGCACCTGAAGGCCATGAATCCAGAGCTGTGACAGGTGGCATATGCAAGCTGATCTGAAAGCCATCAGACGCAGGACAGGGACACAGGTGAAAACGGATGTGGACCCATCCTCAGGCACGGGGTCACAGGCCCATGTACATTTTGTCCCTCCAGAGAAAGGGAGAACCTTACGGACCCAGCTTCAGCTCTCGGACTCAGAGGACACCCTGCCTGGCCATCCAACCAACACTCACCTCCCTCTCCTGCTGGCCATGAACTCCCACAATTAGCACCATTGCAAACCACACTGCTCTCTCACTTCCCAGCCCAAGGCTGATTAGCGTTTTGAATTAGACCAAAAAAAGTGCTAAGCTGTTCTAATTGCACAGCAGTAGGTCATCTGTAGCACCCCCAAAGATGGGACCCCCCCACCTGGAGACCCCGCATCAATGCTTGGGAAGTTCTCTGAGAAGTGAAGACTACCTGCAGTTTCACACAGGTGAGTCACATGCTCCGAAAATATCCAGGTGACAGGATAATGAGGAACAGAGAAGAAGGTCATCTGACTGTGTGCTTATGGATAGGGACCTGCTCCCGCATGTTGGAGTCCATGCTGGGCACATCTCAGTTCTATCCCCATCCCTCCRCCTGTGGTACTGGGCTCTGGGGACCACTGGTAGGTGACTGGCAYCTCTCCTAAAGCCAAGCGCACAGAGTCGAGGGAGGGGACAGACCAGCACCAYGAGCACTTCCCTGCTATGTACCAGAGGGCACAGATGGGCAGCACTGGGCACATTCTGCAGAGCCACCTCCCGGCCATGGTCAGGCCAACTGCCCCTGAGGTGCCACTCCTGTCCTGCTGACTGAGTGGAGTGAGAGGGACAAATGGCAAGGACAAATGKCGAGGGCTGGGCCCACTCCCCTGACGACGGTGCCCTGGTGAAAACACCTGGCGACAGCGATCTGAAGCCCTTACCTGTCCTCACTTTCAGGTGTGCTCGGGCACCATCTTCTCCACACACTTTGGCCACGATCTCCACCAGGTGCAGGATGCCAGGCTCCAGCCCYGACACAGTCATGCTTGTGCCTCGGGTCTCCAGGCCCACGGCAGGGCTCYGTGGGGAGGCCAGGGAGAGCCGGAAGGTGGGGTGCAAGGTAAGGTTCGCCACCCACGCCAGGTGGAAGCTGGTGCTGGTCACATTGGAGACGGTGACCCTCTGGATAGGGACAGGGGCTGGGAAGTGGGATATAAAGGCCAGAGTGGAGTCAGTCCAGGCGTCTTAGAGAGGAGGACCTCCGACACCCAGAACCAAGTCCCGTCTCCGACCTCGTTCGGTCCTTCTCTGAATACCTGTGGAGCGCCTGCTGTATGCCAGGGGCTTCTCCTCTTCTCCATGCTTGACSCTTGTCCCCTGAGAGCCAGCAGGGGGAGTGTCCGTCCCAACACCACCCAGCACCCCTTGGGGCGTCCTCKCCGGGCCTCCTAGCCTGGCTCCCTAGAACTGCACCCCTGCCCCCCGGGATGATAGGAAACAGTCCTGGCTCGGCTCTGTTCTAGAGCCAGGTTCAGCCACAGCCCTTGGTCTGTAACTGCCCCAATGAGGCCTCTTCAGTAGGTGCTGGACAGCTCCTCAGCAAGGCTGCCACACCTGACCCCAGGTGGACATCCCTGGAGGCATTGCTGACCTTGAGAGCTGCTCCAACAGGGAGCCTGTGGCTCCTGATGGGACCATCCTGGCCCACGTGAGCTTGAGAGTGAGCTCCACCAGGAGCTCAGGTGGCGGAGMGGAGGAAACACCTGGCAGAGCTCACACTCAGCAGTTAGTCCAGGTTGCTGGGGTCCAGGGCTGAACCAGCTCTGCACACCCACAATGCAGATGCCAGTGTAGCCTCTGGGGGGCTGTCACCACCCAGGCCTATTCACTGCAGGGAGCAACTTCTCTCCTGGGCTGTCCGCTGGCTTTGTGATGACTAAACCCTCTACTCACAGTGTGGATCTGCTGGGGGTGGGGGGTAACACAGCTGGTGGGTGGTACAGGCAGCTGGGGGTATGGGAGAGCTGGGGCTCAGCATGGCCAGGTGAGGAAGAGCTGGGGGTGCAGAACTGCTAGGAGGCTCCACAGGACTGGGGCACATACAGTGTGGGGTGAAGGAAAGCCGGGGTGCAGAGTGTGGTGTGCTGTAACACACTGAGGGCTCTAGCCAGCCGGGGAGCAGACACTGGGGATGGTGGTCCTGCTGGCACCCAACACTCAGGGTCGCTCCAGCAATTGGAGGGCTACACACGCCRCAGAGGCTCTTTCCCCGGCTGACTTCTGCCCCAGCTGCTGCRCACGGGGGCCTCAGGCGGAGGAGAGGAGAGGGGAAGGCTGGAGATGGGGYGCATCTCCCTTCCTAACTAGACCAGACACTACCACTGAGGTCCCACTGCTCTGGGCCTGGGTCTCCTCCTGCACAAGATGAGAGAGATGGCCCAGCATTTTTAGCCAGWCTTGGGACACCAGGCTCTGGCTTGGTCACCTGAACACACATGAGCTGCCAAGTTCCCACTGAGGTCTCCATYCTCAGACAACTCACCACAGGCAGGGGGCTCCAGGGGGGCAGGAATGGGGGTCGACACCAGGTCTATCCAGGGGGAAGGTCCAGGGTCCCTGTCCTKCAGTCTTGTGGCGTTCAGTGATGTCTTTTGAGTGGGAAGGTTGGTGTGCCACACACTGTGGCCCGTGGGGTCCTCCGCAGGCACAGGCCAGAAGAGTGGATCCATGGTGGGGCTCCCCCGTAASTGTCCAGGGGGGTCCAGTGGGCTGYCCGTGTCCCCCTGAGGGGAGACATGGGTTGGCCCAGGACCCCTGAAGGAAGACGTGCTGGCCACCACGCTGGTGCTCCCTTGGCTGGTCCCCAGGCCCAGGGCCATACTGGGCGCCTCCTTCTCCACGCCTTGCCCTGTGCTGTTCCTGTTGTTCCCGACTGTGCCACTGCCCCCTCTCCTGGGTGGGGGTCTTGGGGTCTGGGCCTGGCTTGCTGCCAGGGTGTCCCATGGATGCCTGGGTCTGAGGGACAGGGTGGTTGTCCCTGTGCCGAGGGCWGAGGCTGTCACTCCTGTTGCTGCAGATAGTTCACCTCCCGCGGGGCTCACCACATCACCTGCAAGACACATCTGCCATCTGACACCAGGAACTTCTGAGCAAAGCCCCCCAGTTCCTCCCACAACCCGAGTCCTCTCTGCGGGAAGACACGGCCATCCAACAGGACTTCCCTGCCTCCCCAGGGACCCCAAAGGGACACAGGCTGGCTCTGTGGCATTTAATGGGCTGTGTCAGCAAGATGGGGCTTTCTGCCTGCAAAGAGGAAGCTGAGACCCCCCAAAGCAGACAGGARCCCACCTGGGGGCTGCAGACCCAGGGCCGGAGGCAGGGCCTAGTGCTCACAGGCCTCAGAGGGACCCCCAGGGCTCTGGATCCCCAGGGGAATGGGACAGTTTCCCCAGTTTGTACTCAGAGTGGGACTTGGTGCTAGTTGCTCTCAACTCTAATGTCCACGTTAGATAAGTAAGAGAAGTGGGAGACAAGCAGTGGACATCTCAGAAGGCAGGATGGACACTGAATGTCTCAGGAGAGCTTCCCCTGGCTAGACCTGGCCTCCACCCCCATTCCTGTCCCCCTGGAGCCCCCTGCCTGTGGTGAGTTGTCTGAGGATGGAGACCCCAGTGGGAACTTGGCAGCCCRTGTGTGTTCAGGTGACCAAGCCAGAGCCTGGTGTCCCAAGTCTGTTAAAAATGCGGGATCTTTCCCATTCCTCCTTCCTGCCTCACAGGCCTCAGCATGGATGTCAGGCGTGGCTGGCCCCTCCACTGCCCACACCCTTGTGCAGGGCAGACGTGGCAAATCACCACAGCATCTAAAGTCTGCAGGTGGCTCCCCCTGCTCCCTGAGCAGCACTCTGGTGGCCCCTGTCCAAGACTTGGGGCCGAGAGGTGGAGGAGCAGGGCTCAGAGGCCCCACGGGCCTTCATCCAGCTCACCTGGGCTTCTACTCCCTCTCCAGTCTGAGGCCTCCCAGGAAAGATTCTGCCTTCCCAGGGGCTCATGGTGACTGGTGGATTCCTGCCCCCCTTCCTTTAAAAAATCTATTAAAATTAAATTTTACAACTACGCTGGCATAAAAGTGAACAGAACGGGCTGAATTTGTTGTTGTCTATATTTAGCATCATATTAGTCTCTTTCTTCTGGTTTTTAAAAGAAAATGAAAACATTTCCATGGACACTTGCAGAGCTTGCCCTCCTCCCCCAGGTCCCAGAGCGGGGCTGGGGACACGCACCCTCACAGGCGCGGCCAGCCCGGGAGGGGTTGGCGTCCCTGGCTGTGCGGCACTGGCAGGTGTAGGAGCCCTCGAGGTTGACGCAGTCGGCGGCGGGGGAGCAGTCGTGCTCCGAGCTGTCTGCACACTCGTCCCAGTCTGCCGGGGACAGAAAAGACCGAGCCAGTGAGAAGAGGGCCAGAGAGGCCCAGAATCAGGAGGACACGGGCCAGACACTTCCGGACTGTTCTCCTGGGGGAGAGCAGAGTCTGCCAAACACCACGGAGTCCAGCATGGATGTCAGGCATGGCTGGCCCCTTCCAGCAAGAGCCCCTCCTGGAAGCCTGACCTCCAACCTGACGAGCAGACCGACAGATGGACACCTTGCTGGCCTTCACCTGGGCTGGCTCTCTGGGGAGGGGTCAGGGAATGGTGGCTCTTTCAGGTAGGTGTGAATGCATTGCTCTTAGATATCCCTTTGGGATCCTTCCTCTTTCTCCCACCTCCTCCTTTCCACCGGGGGCTGCCACCCCATCTTCCACCTGCTCTAGTGAAGAATGTGCTGGTCCCCTGCTCTTTAACACAAGCCCAGACGGGCACGGAGGAGATCCTAAGGAGCAAACCCTCACCTGGATTTGTGGCCAGGAAGAGCTGGGGTCAAGGGCAGTTTCCCCATGACCCTACAAGTCTGTCCTTCAGTCCAGAAGCCTCTCTGTGGGTCACTGCCCACAGGGAAACCTCTGGGCTGAGAGGTCAGCTGGGGATGGGRCCTGCTGGCCAGGGAGGGCTCTGAGAGGAGCCACCTCTCCTAGAAGGGCAGCCGGACCAGGAAGTAGGCGGTGCCCCCGGGGTGGAGGTGGGCTGAGCAGAGGCCAGGGAGGGCCAGCTGCCCCGGGTCTGTGCATGCTTATCAAGCCGCAGGTGGAGTTTCCCAGGAATGCAACGACCCAGCCCAACCTGCCAGAGCTCCGACTTGGCAGGGGCTGGAGCCAAGAAAAGGCACTGTTTGGTTCCGGCAGCTGTGTGGCTGGGGAAGCCCAGCTGCGGTGTCTCAGGTCTGCCTCATGCTGTCTYCAYGGAGGTCAGCCAGGTGGTCACCTGCTGYGCAGCTACAGACCACTTACATGTGGCCTGCTGGGTGACTTTGCCATCACGGTACTGCCAYAGCCACATGCCTACTGAAGTGCTACTGTCCTGAGCCACCAGGCTGGGGGCGGAGCCAGGCTGGACGGGAGCAGGCTGTGGAGGGGAGCGGAGGCCCAGTCCAGACAGACCACCAAGCACCTGGATCTATGTTTAGTGTGCAGTGACTCACCTAGCACRGCTGCCCGCTGCTGGTGGCTCACAGGAAGCCCAGAGCCACACGTGGGCAGTGTTACTCAGTCTCATACAGAAGCCAGGCCAGCYGGCTCCCGGCACAGAGGAGAAGGCAGGTGTGCTGCAGAAGGAGCTGTGGGGCTCTGCACCCGTGGGCTGGGCAGGTGAGGACCGGGCAGGAGCCCGAGCAGGGGCAGCACTCTGCTCCCCTCCATCGCCCTGCCCAGGACGTGGCAGACTCAGGACGGACAGGCTAAGGGCAAAGAAGAGGTCCTGACATCTAATGGCCCCACGTAGGCTCCTGTCAGCCTCCAGGATCAGGATTGGGACACGCTGACCCAYGGGCAGCAAGTGCTCCAAAATGACCTGGAACGTTCCGGCCACTCCACCAGGATTACTTCCTCATGAACCTGAGCAGACACAGTCTTCCTCCCAGGAGTGCCAGRTCTTGTCCCAGAAGGCACGGTCTGTGCCCCTCCTGGCCTGCGGTGGGGCTCTCTCAGGGTGGGGAGACCGACCTYCACAGTGGGCTCTGGCCTCCCTGGGGAGGAGACTGTGTCCTCTAGTTGTTCTGCTGCTCCCGTGTCCAGGGAAGCCACTGGTTCCCRAGTCAGAAGACTCTGTCCAAGGCAGGGCCACCTCCCCTGACAAAAGASAGCCTGCGGCCTCGTCATCCATAGACCAAAGAGACAACTGAGGGGGACACCCCACAGTGACCCTCAGCAGGAAATGCTGGCTCAGCAGCCTGCTGTCATGGGCCCTTAGCAAAGTCCAGGGGCTTCTGGAACTTCTAGGGAASAGTTGGGGGGGCACTCTCTACTGACTTAGGGGATATCAGAAACACMAGGCCCATCTTCTTCCCACCTGTGTCCTGTGGCCACCATAACAGCAATCACCCATCGGGCAGCTCCAGTTCATCTCCCCATTCTGGAGGCCAGAAGCCTGCAATCCAGGMGTCAGCAAGGGCCAAGCTGACCCTGGGCTTTAGGGGACCCTCCTGCTGCCTGGCACAGCTTCTCCGGGCTCCAGGAGTCCCCCTCACCGGGGGACGCCCTCCAGCCTTCGTCCTCCCATGGCCCCCTCCCAGCCTGCGTGGGTTTCTGCTTTCTGTCTCTTTTGAGGACMCTTGTTCTTGAATTTAGGGCCCACCCTACATCTAACCTCAGGATGATCTTATTCTGAGCTCCTTGCCTTAAGGCCGTCTGTGAACAATTATTCTAAACAAGGTCACATTCTGAAGTTCCAATAGCCATGACTCCTGGGGGCATGGTTCAGACCACTATGTCCCTCACACTCAAGGTCCATCTGACCAAGATCTGGAGTAGCCTGGCCCTGGTGCCTAAGTCAGGGGAGACAGGGCTGGCTCAGCTGAAGGTCTGGTCTCAGGGAGGGGCAGGGCATGCACTGAGGACCCTGCTACGGGACTCCTGCTCCTGCTGGCCCTCAGCCCACAGCCCAGCCTGGCAGGACCCTGCAGCACATCCATCTCTGAGGGCACCAAGTGAACCGAGTGACCCCCAGACTGAGCACGGGACACCAGGAGTGGCTTCAAGTACATGTGCCATGKCCCCCTGCACTCCTGGGCAGGGGAAAGTTGGGGCGGCCAGCACACCACTGAGCTCAAGGGGGTAACGTTGCTCCTCCTAGGCCCAGCGCCACCGGGGGATACCATTCCATGGTTGATGCCCAGCTGAGGCCCAGGGTGCAGAGACTGTGTCCCACTGTGGGTCAAAGCCAGGCCCTGCTGGGAAACAGCAAAGCTGGCCTCACAGTCGACRCCTTGTCTCTGCCCTGTCTCTCTCTGTGTGTCTCTGACTGTGTCTCTGTATCTGCCTCCACTTCCAGTCTCTATGTCACTGGCTCCATGTCTATGTCTTCGTTTCTCCCCGTCTCTGTCTCTCTCTGTCTCTACCACTATCTTTGTCTCTCTCCCTCTCTCTGTGAGGCTCTATGTCTCTGTCTGTCTTCATCTCTCTTTATGACACTTTTTCTGTGTGTCTGTTTCTCTTGCTTCAAGGCAACATCAGTAAAATGAAATGCTTGTGAGCTAATCAAATAGGCCCACGAGTAAACTTCCACAGACACCTGCAACGCGGGCCCTGACCAGACACAGGGAATGCCCATTCCCTGCCCCCAGGTGGACCCCCGGCCCCATTTTCCTCAATATTCTGGGCCTGCAATTAACAAGAGGCACCATCCAGAGGGAATAAGCCCTGTCTCAGAGTGCCTTCCCCTGGCACCTCCTCCTACCTGGAGCCATGAGGAGTGGGGTGCAGATTGGGGGGCCTGGCCCCGGCCCCTGGTTCTTATGGAGAAAAACAGATAAAAATTTCCTTTTGGATAAAGAAAGATTGACTCAAAATAAAGTCTCCTAGACCACAACCACACTAGAGGGACATCCTGGCGGCACAGTGCCGTGCGTACCTTGCACGGCCGTCCCCTGCTGGTCGATCTGGAACACTGTGCTTGAAGGCAGAAGCTGGAGCAGGGGAGCCAGAGTGGAGACACCCACTGGAAACTCGGGGTCTTGCACTGTGAGCCTCAGCTTCGCCACCACGCTCCCCACCTGGAGAGACGCCATCTGCATCCTCAGCTTCCCACGTCGGTAAAGGTCACAAACTGCTGGTGGGAAGGAGTTCTCGACCTAGCCAAGAAGAGGTGACAGGGCTCAGACAGGGCAGCAGAGACACCTCTCAAATCATGTTTTTCCCTGAGTCAGTCGAGCCTGACCTGGTCTTGTTGGAGAACCCAGAGTGACCTCTACAGTCAAGCTTCCAGACCTGCAGCATCAGATGAACCATCCACTCTGGATGTTCTGAAGTTGGGCATGCAGGTAATTTGTATATGTGGGTGAGAGTCAGAYAGACTGATCGATTGACAGAGAAGAATACCAAGGAACAGTCTCCATGGCTATTTGGAGCTGTTCCCCTCATTACTGGGCTGTATCTCCAGAAAATACACAGACAGAGCCAAGGGCTCAGGGACACCTATGTTCTATCAAAGAAGACACCAGCCTTACCTCCTACCTTCTGCCACTCAGTTCCTGTGAGCTCAAAGAAATTAACGTTGGAAAAGAGTTTTCTAAGAACCCTCAAAAGCTAATTTCCCTCTGCAGACGCATGCTGGGAAGCAACATCCTGTGAGGCTCTTGCAAATTTCCACACATCCTGCAAACAGAGGCACTAACTGCTCTTTTGTTCCAGACTGTCTTTCCAAGGGTGTTTATATTATGAGCAGCCTTGGGAGACAGTAATGGTGGCTCCCTCTGTTTACTGTCCAGTATAACAAAGATAACATCTCCTTCTGAAGAAAGGCTTAGGCATTTTTACGTGCAGCCTATTATAAAAGATTTGGGTTCCCTAAATGTRGGGTTCCTCAGCCGTGACCTGGACCCCCTTGATGGACATCATCCATCCACCTGTACACCCAACAGAGCCAAAAGGGGCCAACATCATGCTCAGGCACTTGCAGTTCTGGGAATGACAAGGGCTCTGTCTCTGACCTAGCGATCTCTTGTCTTTTATGACACTGTGGCAGCAGCCTATTCATTCACAAGAAAGGTAAAAGCTCAGTCCTTTCATAATTCTTGGTGATTTAGTAAGCCACTTCCTCTCCAGCTAAACATCTACRGATAGACAGTATTTAACATTGGCTTTGACTCCCAGGCTGCGCACTGGACATCTCCTGTTAGCCACAAGGAGGAAGGGATGCTGAGATGATTGGTAAATGCTTCCCTGGTGAAGCTAYGCCATTGCAGAAAGACAGGTTCCCAAGCAGATGCTTCAACAGCAGATCCAGCTGTGTGTTCAAGTGGTGTAGACCTTGCAATCAAAGCACAGATTCTGAAGACAGATTGTTCAGGGACAGGGTTGGGTGCGGTAAGCCATGACTGTGTGATTTGGGCTTGCCTGCCTAAGGCTGCAGTGACATGTGATTTTGCCATGACCACAGGGGAGGAACTGGGCATAAGGCCCTCCCATGGGTGGTCCTTGCCCAGAGGACACAAGGTGAGGAGTCTGGGACCACATCTGGCTTTACCTCTTGCAGCAGCTGTCGGGAGAAGTCCCTGTGTTCCACGCTGCTACAGTTGAGTAGCTGCTCCGTCAGGTTGCAGTTCACGATCCTTATTGTAAGTCCAAAAACCTGGGCATCTGAGACAGACAGTGGTGCAGAATAGCTGAAATCCTGGGATTCAAAGTCACCTGCTTCTCTGTCAGTTTTATAGAAAGTCTATTTTTTGATGAGGAAAGAATATTTTTAAATAGATCAAGGCATGAACCTTAGATTGAGCTCAAACTGGGAAATTTTATTTATCATGTTTATATCTGCAATGGAGTGAAAGGACTGATTAACTTAAGCCACACTTATGGCCAGGATAGGAACACTGCGGAGCCAGGTGCAAACCCCACAGTCCACTCCAACAGGAACTGGTCAACCAGCACCTGTGGGGTAGGAAGGCCCCTTCAACTATCCTTCCCCAGGGGGCTGCTGCTTCCCTTTGCCTCTTCAGAACCACAAGGCCCAACCAGGTTCTTTGCTGCATCCCCACCCAGGCCCCCAAAATTAGGGTGACAAATTGGCCCCGGTTGCTGGAATCTTCCCGGTTTCAGTGCTGAGGGCAATAAAAGTTGCTGTTACTCTGATGCTGGGAAAAATACTCCAGATGGGACAGGGTGACTCATGTCACTTTCATCATGAGAGTAAAACTGACAYGTGCACAGTCAAAAGGTCAGGAGCATCGAAACAGGCCTGCTACCTCTCTGAGTGCTGCTGAGTGTGGACAGTGGCTAGCTGACTCCGCCCTGGCTCAGCTCGGTTAGCAAGCTTTAGGACCAAGGAGGTCATCACGCTGTCCATCACCTGTGCACACCAGGATTGAGGGCACGCAAAGCTCACCAAGGATGTGAACGGACCCCTGACCCAAACAAGAMCTCCCAGGAGGCCCAGTGCACCCCCGAAGCACACACACACACACTCCTAGGATAAACTTTAGGCTACAAATCAGGCACAGGAAGAACTGGAACAATGACTAATAATAAAATAGAATTATAACAACATGCTGTAATAGAAGTTATTCAACATTTGCAAATTATTTTTAGAATATTCCCCTTTCATATTTTTACACCACAGTTGAYTGCAGGTAACTGAAACCCAAAATGTGAAACCCCAGATATTTCCAGGCTGGGCCCCCCATCTTARCAAGAGACCTCCATGCTTGGCCCTGGCTTTCGGGCCTTGACGCGAGCCCCTCCTACCTCTGCCTGGTCAGCATCACAAGATGCAGTTGCTGAGCCCTGAGGATGTTCAGCCTCCCCAGGGCCTTGGAAGCCAGATTGCATCCAGAGGCTCTGGGTGACYGCTGCTGTAGTCTCACCCACCCAACGTGCAGATGGCATAGAGGCCACATTGGAAATGCAACGTTAAGCAAAGAGAGCACTCTAGAAGTCCTCTACCGACAAAAGGCATTTTGCAACATAAAGAAAGAAAGAAATCAAGGCTGGAGAGTGGAAGAGGCTGACTCTTCAGAAGTCTTCTAGAACCTTCTGAATTACCATTCCCTAGCATGGGCACATAGATATTTTTTCATGAGGGCCTGGGGTGGTGGGTGGAGCTGCAAATTCCTACTATCTGTCCCAGTGGAGAGAGCTCTGCATCACACAGGGCGGCCATGGGTGGCGCATCCCAGGTGAACTGGAAGGAGTGTGGATAACAGATGGATACGAAAAGATTCCCTGGTCAGTGACCATCTCTCAGGCCTCGGTTTCCTCCAGGGAAAAGAGAGGCCCCTCCCCTTGTCCCTGGAGAGATGGAGGGGGGTCCTGGGAAACTGGAGACCCTGCACCAAGTCAAGGCTTTGCGTGCTGGGGTTTGGGGGCCTCTGGGTGCCCACCCTGTGTGCTGGGATGACTTTGCATGGGGTTGGCCCTGAATCTGTTCATCAGGGGCATAGGCCGAGTCATCAGGGCCGCTTGTTCACCCACAGTCATAGCTGTGGTCGCTGCGTGGATCTCTGTGCACTGGACAGACCCCAGCAGGCTCCTTATGAGGTCATTTCAGTGCTCACCATGCTCTGAGCCTGACCCCCAGCCTGGAGCTCCCATTGCTCCAGGATGAGGGCACACACATGGGACACAGGAGTAGAATGTCTCGGATGCACTCCTCACCTCACAACCCACAGCCACAAAGGCCAGCCTGGGGGAGAGCGCCCACCCTGATACCTAGCCAGACCAAGGTCTGCATACTACCGTGACCCCCAGGGTGAGGATGAGCAGGCAGAGCAGGGCAGGCCACACCAGCCACCTCCCAACACTGAGTTCTAGCTGTGAGGGTGTCACCTAGGTATGGGGAAAGTGGCCTCCTGGCACAGGGGTATGCACTGTGTCAGCACACGTGTGTCACATGGGAAGCAGGGCATGTGTGGTTGTGGAGACTCGAGCGTGCAGCTGGGCTCCGATGGTGGGGAGACCTGTAGACAGCCCTGTGGCAGCGAGTGTGGGGACAGCTGCCTGCTTCCCCACGGCCGCCGTCCTCGTGTTACTGCATTTGGCCTGTCCACTCATTGACCCCACAGGTGCCACAAAGGTGGTCCCCAGAGAGCCCCGGGCCRTCCCCTCGGACGTCAGAGTGAGCCCTGGAGGAGACACGCAGGGAGCAGGGGAGCCTGTGGAGGGCCCTGAGGCAGCCTGCCAAGCTCTAGGAAGTTCAGGGGGACAGGGAGGCTGCAGTTAGGCAGTGACCTCTGGTGGCCTGATTACAGGAAGAACAACACCGTGTGCGGGGACTGCGGAACTGGGATAGCAATACAAGTCCGCAAGGTCACCTGGAGTTCTGGCCCGGCCTTACCTGTCTTGACGGTCAGCCAGGCAGAGACGTTGGCCCCGCAGCACTGGTAGCTGGTCTTCACACCGTACAGCACCCCGGCCTCCAGCCCAGCCACCTCCAGGCCCAGGTCGCTGGTCCAGGCGCATCTGAGCACCAGCTCACCCCRCTGCAGCTGGACGTGGAAGGTGTGGTTCTGGGTGGAATTCAGACCCCAGGACACCCGGAAACTGCTGCTGGTGACGTTGAGAGCCACGTAGTCACGGATCGGAGGACAATCTAGGGCAGCATGGGTGTGCACAAGCCTCAGGGAGGGTGGTCCACCTTCCCTGCAGCAAGAAGGCCCACCTCCATTCAGCCCAGGGCCGAGTCCAGTGGGCCAAGGCAGGACCACCGGGGCATTTTTCCCAACCTTGAATCAAACCTGTTACTTCAAAAAAGAGGCAGCAACCCTCTCCCTCGGAAACGTCCCACGAAGGGCCCAGGCCCTGCCAGGGATTGGGGAAGGTAGTTCTGGATGGCCTCATGGTGCTGAGTATTGAGATGAAGGAAGGAGAAAGCGAACAGAAGCCTGAGGTTCACGTCGCAGCCCCCATGTCACTGAGCCAAGCTAAAGGGCCCTGACCCAGTGCTCGCGGTCTACACCACGGCTCTGCGCGTGTGGCTCGAGTGTGATTCAGAATTGGTGGTTAYCAGGAGGCAGAGCACCGTGGGGACGGTGGCACAGACAGAAACCGTCTTCATTGAGGCCACTGCCGGCGAGGCTACAGGGCTGCGGCCAGGACCCTGCCTCCACCCACTCAGGGCTGCAGGCCACACGGACTCCCACGAGCCTGATGGCTTGCACAGGACTTCTGCTTCCAGCCAGTCATCCATTGGACCACGGCCCCATCAGGACACAGCCCTCAGGGGTCCAGCGGAGTCTGCTCCATACCCCTTTGTGCTTTCCTATCGAAATCCAAGCTTCAGGGAGCAAAACGCCAACGTGCCGCCCGACATCTATTCTGGTCCTCAGCTAGAATTAAAGCTCTATTTTGGGTGGGAAAAGCCTGGCTCTCCAGCAGCCATCTGGGAGTGGGAACTGCATCTAGAGTAGGTGGCCTGCAGGCAGGCAGCAGCGTCTTCAGGTCAGAATTTTAGTTCTATAAAAAGCATCAAGGAGGACACTTGGAAAAAAATTTTTTTGTAAAACCATAGTAAAGAAAATAAATTTTCAAGCTCTGCGATTCCTCAAAGCCCTTTGTGTAAGGACTCATAGAATATACACTTTCTAGTATCGTGAAAAAATTCTGTCCTTCCCAACACATGCATACGCTTCTTCTCAACCAAAACAACAAACCAATACAACCCAGTTCCCCTTTTTCCTTGGCTGCCAAGAAGCCCAGAACCAAGCTTAGTGCCCCGTCATAGTCCTGTGACATGGCCCTGCTGCCTCCTTCCAGCCAAGCACCAGGCTGCCTTTCATAATCCYGCGTGTGGGTCCTTCCCCTCGGGGAGCCTCACAGACCCTCCTCCAAGTGGTGGGTACAAATGGYTGCGAGGCCTCCCTTCCCTGTGCCTGGGATCAGGATCAGTGGACCCTCCCAGACTCTTACTGCTTCCTCATGACATTCCTAGAATCAGGAAGCATATTTTTTAAAAGACCTGACTCTTCTTTTACTGGATCACCCAGTGGTTTTCTGCGTTTTGGCCACAGAAGTCGACGTAGACACTGAGGTTCACCCTTGATGACGTCTTCCTTTGCAGCGGGAGAAGCAGGGCAGGCTTCCCCGAGGGCAGGGTCCTGACTGCTTCCCTGCAGCCTGGGTCCTGACAGTGTAGGCCTGCCCCCAGATCCACAGTCCCTGGAGCCCCGGCCCAGCCTCCGGCAACTGCACTGCACATCAGTCTGTGCCCTGGGAGCACGTGTCTCACTCAGAGACTGGGGAAGGGCCACGACTTCTTTTCTGAAAATCTGCTGCACATGCTGCTGGTACAGTCAAGACAGGCGGCACCAAGCACTTTTTCCTCCACGTGGTTGGGGGACCAGGTGCGGCCTGAGACCTGATAAACAGGAAAGTGGGGGCCCAGGGCCAGTCTGGAAGCTTGAGCAGCAGCACACAGTCCCTGTCTCCTTGTTGCTGCTGGGAAATCACAACTGACATGCAACAGAAGATGACCTACCTGTACTGAGGGCACCCTAGAGTGTCTTCTGAGAGTGTCTCCGTGCAGGGTGGAAGGAAGATGACGTGAACATTTGCAAAGGACTCAGAGGGTGGTGTTGGGAAGAGGTCTGGGAAGACCATGCACATGGCGCCTCTTCTAATAACCTACGCTCAGTCTTTCAGTGAAAAGCCAAGGGTTCTTGGACTGTTGGGTTGAGGCTGCAAACCTGGAACCTTGAAGGCTGTGAGACCTCAAGGCATCCACAGATGGCAGCTTCTGTGTTCCTGTGTGCAAATGAGCACTAGGAGAAAGAGAATCCCTTCCCACCCAAAGAAATGCAGCCCCTAAGGCTGATGCTACCTCTGAATATTTGTGCAGCTCCTTCTCCAATTTATTGCCTTGGGAAACTTGCAATATCCCCCRTTCAAATGCTTTCCACCAGCAACAGAGGCAGCTTCAGAGGCTCTAGGTTTGTTGAGCATCTACTATGCACCCACACTGACACAGACACAGGGAGAGCTACAGCGTGATGCCACAGCAATGCCTGGCAGGCACAAGGAAGGGTCCTCCCCAGGCAGCCTCCAGGGGTGCAGGGACACTGCCATGGAGCTTGGAGTTCACTCCGGTTGCAAGCCTGTGAGGTAGAACAACACAGGCATGCCACACTCGGTCCAAGCTGTCACTGGGCCAGACATGGTGCCCCATGTACCTCTTGCCACCATCCCAGCTAAGAGGCTCTTCTGTGACACCATCTCATAGAGGTAACCAGAAAGGTCAAGCCCTAAGTGGCAGAGCTGTTGACYTGACAGTTCCCTGCTGACTCCTAAGCCATTGGCCACAGTTGCCAGATGATGATTGAGGAACTGCCAGCTCTCTGGAAAAAGGTCTTTGCAGGTGGATGTAAGCTGAGGGTCTAGAGATGGGGAGAGTGTCCTGGATTGCCCAGGGTGGTGCTAAATGCAACTGCAAGTGTCCTTACGAGAGGCCGAGGGAGATTTGACGGTCAGAAGAGCAGAGAAAGACCTGAAGACAGTGGCCCTGAAGGCTGGCGACGTGACCACAGGCCAGGAATGCTGGCCGCAGCAGGCAAAGGTGGGAGGGCAGGCAGAGACGCTCCCCAGGAGCACAGCCCCGCCCAGCCCTGCTGCTACCTGTTGGGACCTCAGGCCTCCAGAAGTGTGGGAGACCTCGTTCCTGCTGCGTCAGCCACCTAGCTTGTGGTACTTTGTCACAGCAGCCACAGGACACTCAGGAACCTCCTGACTCTGCTTCCAGCAGTGTTTGAGGCAGCYGTCCCGTGACTGGCACAGCACACAGGAGAAAGTTCCTCATTTTGCTATAAAATGACCAACTCCTGACATCCTGAGCTAGCGTGCTTCTGCGCTCTCCCCTAAGGCTACTCCTTCTGCACCTGGCCTTCTGTCTTCTGGGATAAGCCCCTGGAACTGGGTTTGAGGTCCCTCATTAGCCAGGACACCCTCCTCTGCTTATTCCAGCTTTTCCTTCTTAAAATGTGACCCCAAATGTCACCACTCAGTCCTTGACTCCGGGCATGGTCCGTGGGCAGGGGCAACCTGGATCCAGCGAGGTCCCTGCTGCAGGGCTCTCCCTACCCCATAGCTGGGGACATATCCTGGCCCTGACCCCCCTCTCAGTGGGGCACTTCAGACTCCTGTCTGTGGGCCTGGGCTCTCATTGCTCCCAGTAGCCCTACCCTCCAGCCTGTCATGGTGGGTGTCAGACTCAGTTCCCTTCCCCCTGGGCCTGCCCGCCTGGCACCCGACCCTCATGAATACAGAACCAGGGGGGACGGATCAGGGCTGAAATCCTGAGCACGCCACGGAAAGCTGACTGGAGCCAAGAGCCTGGCTGGGGCAAGCCTGGGCGGCCGCTCCTGGCCAACTCTGCTGCTGCTGCCACTGACCCCCTTGACAGCCAAGCCCAGGTTCAGGAGACCCCTCCTCAGGGAGCTGGACAGCTGGTGGGCTCCAGTTGAGGATGGATGCCAATGGGAGAGGGACGGATGCCTTCCCCAAAGTGGACCCCGCTCCTGGAATGTTAAGTGTGGACTGTGGCCATTCCTCAAGGGTTTTGGTAAGTTCAAGAATACAGCTGCCCTGTGTCATTAATTGAGTGACGAATTTCACAAGAAAAATATCTGAGATTTGTGCTGTATTTTCCAAGGACGGTACCTCTTAGCCATTCCAGGGGATTGCTCATTCAGATTAGCATCTAAATTTAAAACACATGCTGATTCCTTAGCAGTGCGCCAYTGGAACTCCCCGGACTCTGGTCTGGACGTGCTGGAGCTGTCTGTCCTGCCCTGTTGGAAGGGAAGGGGCTGGCGGCCTTCTGGCAACGCTCTATGCTGGCGGGTTCGGCGGAGCTGGGCTGGCRGCATTGCTAACTGTAAATAGAGCCTAATATTTTTCCAGATTACTGCCCAGAGTAAAAATAACCGAATCTCAACCTGTGTTCTCACTAAAGGGGGGATTCTTGACCTGGGGTCCACAACCGGGAAGTCTGCGGAGTCTGCAGTTCCACACAAGGTGTGGGGTGCATCTCTGTGGGGTGCAGGTCTAATGGGATCCCCAAAGTCGTGAGCTGCAGTGGCAGAGGAGTGATTGATTGCCAGAGTTGGGCTGGTCGGCTCTTCCTTCCCTCCTTCCTTCCTTCCTTCCTTCCTTCCCTCCCTCCCTCCTTCCCTCCTTCCTTCCTTCCTTCCTTCCTTCCTTCCTTCCTTCCTTTCTTTCTTTCACCTGGAGATCCAGGATTGGTTACCACTCCAAATTTCCTTTAATGGAAACAGCCAATGCAGCTGTGCCCTGCCTATCAACATTTGGGTCAACAGCGTCCACACCTACTTCAGGGGCTGTACCACAGGGTACGTAGCTGCCCAGCTGAGGGCTGTGTGAGGGCCTCACCCTGAAGCCATCGCCTGACGATGCTACTAGAACGCAGTGGCACAGAACTACTGCAGTGGCCACCCCTGCACCAGGACGCTTCCAGCAATGAAGAGGGCTCAGGCCTCTTCCCCTGYGCTCCCTCCTGTCAGTGGGTAGAACATTCCAGCTCRAGAGGACTGTCCCTGGACCCCTACAGGACTGCAGAGTGGTGGCTCAGACAGAAATAGACAGGCCACAGACTCAGGGACACCCTCCAGCCATGCAGCCCAGGGAAGGTCAGGCCAGAGGCCCTTAGCCCCTCAGGTCATTCCTCACAGGGACGGCAGCCCTGGCCAGCAGCCCTGGGGCCCATCTCAGAGCCAGGCTCATCTCTGCTCCTCCTTCCCTAGCCACCAGGAGGTCAGCCAGGCCTCAGGGCCTTGGCCACGTGTGGCATGTTCTTACAGGGGACACTCTCTCAGCAGCCCTCCTGAACCCCAAGGGACACTTGGTGTCCCTCCTGGTATGGAGTGATATGACCACCCAGCMCGCAGGGAGAGGGAATGGCAGGGACAAAGGAGCCCAGGCACAGTAGGAGGGGGTTCCTGCTCCAGAACCCATGTAGTAAGATCAACTGATAAAATGGAACCACCCKAACAACACGCTATGATAAACCCTGGGATGTTTTCTCTGTCTCATCACAATGTCTGACTGCATCGTATTTGCCCTTCTTGGAATGAAGTGAGATGGCACAGTGCCATGTGGGATGAACGGGGGAGAGTGACATCGGCCTTGTGATGTCACTCGACTGTTACATGAGATCCCTTGAGCACAAACAGTGCAGTACTGTGACAGGAGGCCTGAGAACGGAGAGGACCGCCAAGTGACTCATGGGTGGGTAGCGCATACGATGTGGAGACACAGGACAGAGGCACTCCGCGTCCTGGGTGGAATGGAGTGGAATGGAGGGCTCATCATGCTACTCAGAAAGGCTCATAATTTAACATTTATGAATTGCTTAATATTTTCAGAATGTGGCTGATCACAGGTGAATGCAAACCCTTGAAAGTGAAACCAAGGATAAGGGGGAACCACTGTGTACAGTTATTTCTTACTATAAGTCCTGGGCTGGCAGAAGCCAGTCACATAGACAGCACCTGGGACACCCCAGCCTCCAATGTCCCCAACAGGACAGAGCCAGGCTGTCCCTTCTCAGTGTCTTTGCCAGCACTCMACACACTTTCTGCCCCTAGATTGCCCAGGCAAAGCCAGGGTCAGTGCCAGCTCTTGCCTGTGGTCCAGCCTAAGTCTCATCATGCCCTCACTCTCCAGGGACTCAAGACCATCCCACTTACACCAGCCCGCGCCTGCCAACCTCGGGAGCTTCCCCAGGGCGACCACTGCCTGCTGGTGCTTGCTCCTTTCACCAGCAACGGGGCAGTGGGTGGCACTGGACAGTCGTCTGCTAGATCAAGGAATGATTGTAAGAGTGACCGCCAGGAGACCTGGGCAGGTGAGACAGCACAGGGAGGGTTCAGCCCTCCCCTAGACCCCAGCCTGGCGCACGCCATCTGGGGAGCCCCGTCTTACCTTTGCCCGTGCCGTTCAGCTTCTGCGGAGCCGAGGCCGAGGAGTCCTGTGGGCAGACGCACTGGTAGGAGCCCTCCCCGTTCACACACAGCTCCTCTCCAGAGCAGGCATGGAGCCCATTGTAGGAGCACTCGTCCACGTCTGAGAAAGAGAGGTCAGGGCGGCCCGTCACACACCTCCGCCCTCCCGTGGGGCTCCACACGTGTCCTCCCAGCTGCCCACTGCAGGCAGGGCTTCACACCCTCACCAGGCACCTCAAGCCCTGGGCAGCCTCTGTGGCCTGAGCACGAGTGAGTGGTCATGAGATGATGGACCCCAGAATAAACCACGTGCCTGGGCAGTTCTCTGAATGAGGAAGAAAACTGGAGCCACCCTGGATGTTCTGAGTGGGCCTGACACTCACGGTGGCCCTGTTATCCTCCCATCAGGCAGACACCATCCCCCAGAACACTGACCTCAGGCAAGGCCGCTCTGTGCCCAGGACAAAGCCAGGCAGAGCTGGGCCCCTTCACTGGAGTCTCTAAGCACCAACAGGWATTAGCTCACGCATCACCCACAAAGCGCAGACCCCCCTCTCTCGGCCACACTAGGGGATCATTAGTCTTTCCCTCTAAGGCTCATCTTTGTGCAGTTTCTTCACATCCCACAGATGAGACTTACTGAGCTACCCAGTCGTACAACTGTTCCACTTCAGTCTAGAACAAACTTGCTTCCTTATACCCTCCCCAAACCACCCAGTCAAATCCACATCCTGCAGTAGGTTTGCAGCCTAGCGGGGTAAACCACTTGCTGGCCAGGTGTGCTCCCGTGACCACTAGCTGAGTGCGTGGGCACGACACCCCAGCACTCGGACYGTTGGCCCTGCGCCAGCCTGGCTTGGTTTCCAAGAACATCCGTGCCTTGCAAAGAAAGGTAGTGCAATCCCCGGAGTGTTCATGGCTCCTTCAGGCTGACCTTCAGCGACCCAGACCAAGCTTCGTCGAGGGGAGCAGCCCTGCCCAGGGCCTGTCAGCTGGGCCATGCCGCCTGCTCCCAACTCAGAAAGGGTTGGACTGGCCCTGCCTTTTGCTTCCGTGCCATGGCGGCTGCTCATGCTGTAGGGCCAGAGMTGGGCAGCTGAGACAGAGACCATGTGGCCCACGAGGCCAAAAATATTGACTCTGTATCCCTTTTCAGGAAAACACTTTGCCAACCTCTGTCATCAACTAAAAAGCACCCTGTCATTTATCCTGGAATCAAGGCCACAGCTGAGGGTCTCAGCAAGTGAAAATTCAACTGTGCACAAATTCTGCTGATAGAGCCTCCTGGGGGAAAGACGTCCTTGTCGAAGGTGGGAAGGAGGCCAGAGGGAGACTTAGGAGCCCAAGAACTGGAGGAGCACACTCCTGGAGTGTGCTCTAGGCTTTGCACTCGGGGGCCCCTGGAAGAAGAAGCCTCCCAGGGAAGAGGAAGGCTTGGAGGAGAGCGGGGAGGGAAGGTCTCAGAACCTGTGTTTGGGACCTGAGTTTAACCTTGGCTTAGGCAGAAGGAGTTCAGATGGGCCCCACCACCCACCACCGCCCACCTCCGCCCACCACCACCCACCACCACCCCGGCAGGAGGAACACACTGGGCATGGGGATCCCTGCCTGCCAGTGCGCAGGACTGGCTCTGACCTTAGCTAGCCTGTATTTGGGCCACTAGGGCAAGAAGACCAACCTTGCACCTGGATGCTGACCACTTCATAGACACGCTTCACAATGTCATTCAGCATAGAGGAGACCTTGGCTACCGGCAGCAGCTGAGGCAGACCCAGCAGCAGCCATGACAGTGTGGTGGAGGGGTCCTGTCTGGCTGAGCTCAGGTAGTGCACAGCGGGGTCCAGCAGCTGCAAGGCACTGGTGACCTGGAATCAGAGCATCAGAGAGACATCCTCTTCAGCCCAACAGGGAACCTGAGGTGGGAGGAGTTGGAACCACATGCACACACATCCCCCGTTCTGCTCCACAGAGAGCGCTGCRGCAGGACTTCTGTACTGTGACCCTCCCAGTGAAGGCCCTACAGACCAGGCTCACACKGCCTTCGCAACAGCAGTGGTGGTGGGCTGAATGGTGCCCTCCAACTTGCACCCCTGGCCCCTGACTGTGCCCTGATGTGGAGATGGTTTTGCTGCAGATGYCACTTGTGAAGGTGAGCTCATCAGGGCAGGCCCCATCCCGTAATCCTGGTGTCCTCCTCAACAGTGGAAACTTGAGCCCAGAGCCAGACACAGAGGGAAGGCGGTGCCCAGGAACCCTGGAGAGGACGCCACACAGCCCAGGAGGGGCCTGGAACCCTTGCAGTGCCCAGAGAGGTGGGACCCCTTTTGCTTCTCGATAGACCTTTGATGGCAGGTGGGTTGCATCTCTCTGAAGCTGGTAATTTGTTGTTGTTGTTTTGGGTACCAGGGATTGAGCCCASGAGTACTTAACCACTGAGCCACATCCCCAGCCCTTTATTTTATTTTTATTTAGGTCTCACGTAGTTACTTAGGSCCTCACTAAGTTGCTGAGGCTGGCTTTCATCTTGTGATCCTCCTGCCTCAGCYTCCCGAGCCATTGGGGTTACAGGCATGCACCACGATGCCCAGCTTGAAGCTGGTATCTTTAAACTGAGAATTCCAKCTTGGTTCAGAGCCAGTCATTTGGGAACCACTCATGAGACGTCCCCCTCCCTGTCCCGCCCTCAGCTCCTCTCCGCCTACCACCCACCAAGGAGCACAGAAGGCGCGTGTGGTTCTGCAGCCCRGGGTCCACATGCTGCAGGTCCTCAAAGTCCACCTTCACCAGCATGGTCACGTTGTACCAGCTCACCCAGCTCCTCTCTGGAGCTGCACCTGCATCTGGAGGGTGAATGCCAGTGAGTTAGGACCAGGGCAGGGCTGGCCACCAGAGGCCACTGTGGGGTGGTGTTGGGGTTTGTAGGTGAGGTGTCCCCCAAAAGCTCACACGTAAGACAATACAAGAGGGTTCAGAGGGGAAATGATTAGGTTGCAAGAGCCTTAAACTAATCAGTGAATAGATTCCTGATGGGAATCTGAGTGGTGGCTGGAGGCAGGTGGGTGTGGCTGGAGGGGGCTGGCATTGGGGGCGTGTCTTTGGGGTATATAGTCTATCTGACCAGTGGAGACTTTCTCTCTGTTTCTGATCATCATGTGAGTTGCTTCCCTCTGCCCCACTCTTCTGCCATGGTGTTCTGCTCACCTCAAGCCCGAGGAATGGAGCTGGCCTTCTATGGACTGAGACCTCTGAAACCGTGAGCCCCTAAATAAACTTTTCCTTCTCTGCAGCTATTCTGGTCAAGTCTTTAACTCATAGCATCACAATAGCTGACTAAACAGGTAGGGCGAGGACAGAAGGCCAGAAGGCAGGAGGCCAACCTTTGCCCACCCCTCCCTCCCTAAATCACCTGCCCACAGCTCCTCTCCCTCCCGTTGGCCATGAAGACCACTGGCCCCGACCTGGGAGGGGCTGACAGGTCAGAAGGCCTGGGAGCCAAAGCCGTGGAATTTGAAAAGAGATGCAGGATGCAAGCGTATGCTGCGATCCTCGCTAGTATAATGTTGCACTGATGTATCGGGTTATTATACACTGGGCCATGATTTTGTGGATTCTATTTATACTATTAATATCAACCAGCATAATACATAATTATATATTACATAATATACTATATAATACTGTATGTAAACCATACTATAAATACCACAATATATCGTTGAGAGGTATAGTGAACACAAAGTATTTAATAATACTTGATACTGTTTATACTATTCCTTTATGGCTATATACTTACTAATATGACTATATATTGTATGTGATTCTTATATACATTTATTTCACCTGTTTCCCTAGCTCTGAACACTGGCCCACCCATGCTTCTAGGTATAACCTGTGGTTAGGACAGAACTTTCCAGACCAGCAGACATGGCCAGTCAGCACCTGCTCTTGGTGTTGGGTTGCTGACACATCTGCTGAGCATCCAGCCTAGCTTCCCATGCAGGAGCCCACCTGCAGCTGCCAGGAGACCTGGGTCTCTGCCCGACAGGAGTGCCTCGCCACTCCAGGGCACCGAGAGCCCAGCTCTGCCCAGTGCTCCAGCAAGCAGATCCGGGGAGGAGCCCACCCTGCCCGCACTGGGGCTGCTRCTGCTAGGTGCCTACCCGCCCACCCCTCCTCGTGAGACCCTCCTCCTAGCAGCCCTACCGTGAGGTGTGGGAGCCACACAGTGGTGGCCCCCTGACCAGGGACAGCACTTCTGAAGCCCAGGGCACTCAGTGTCCGAGCTGCACTGTGAGGTGGGTAGCTGTGGCCCTGCTGTTGGGCAGACACCAGGTCTTGATGCAAACTCCCCAGACCGATTCAGGGCTAAGGGGAAAGGAGAACGGAGACAATTAATGATCTGGAATCTCAAAAAAAAAGAAAGCCCTTAGTGAGCTGTGGRTGCTGCATGCAGAGTTGAGCCCCTCCTGTAGTTCCCAGAGGTTCCAGGCTGTGAGCCTGGGACCACCTCTAGCCCGGTTGGTTCTACCATTGCCTGGCCATAGGGCTGCCAGGGCAGATTTGGTGGAGGTCCTGGGGCCTCCTTTTCCTCTGACCTGCAGAGTCCAGGGACGGTGGCTCTACACCCTCTTCCAGGACCCCATATGGCTTCCTCTCCCGATTGCTCCACTCGCTCGCTCATTCAGCCACTGAACATCTACCGAGCACTTGCTGTGGCCAGGCATGGTGCTCAGTGCCTGGCCCAGCTGTGGCCCCAGACAATCTACCCTGGAGACTGTGTTCCAGGGGGACGGAATCTGCAGTGAACCTACARAAGGTCACACAGGAGCAGAGCCTGGGATAAGGTAGGCGGGGGGTGTCAGGGAAGGCTCTGGAGGGAGATGCAGTGCCTCCGTCTGGCAAGCCAAAGGAGCCCGGTAGAGTGACTCCAGCCCGGTCGCCAGGAGGCGAGGGTCTGTCTGTGGCCGGGCAGGAGGCTCAGCGGGGGCAGAGACCCTGTGCACGAGTGGGGGCCCTGGAGATTTGAGCCATCTAGTGATGATGGGGACACTATTGGTACCCCCAGTCCCTCTAATTACTCTGGCCTGCTCTGTACCCCATCTCCTGTGACCCTCAGTTTGCCCTGGAGGCTGGAGCTGCTTGGCTTCAGTGAAAACCTGAGGTGCCTGGAGATCCAACAGCCAACTTCTCCGCTTATGGCCAATGCCGTGAAATAGCCCCTGTGTGCTGCACCTTCCCTTTGTCCTCCTGCTTCCTGGGGGCACAGGGCACRTGCTGGTCTGGTCCACATTGTGGCGGCCCTTCTGCCTGCTGGGGAGCATCCTCAGAAGGGAGGAAGGCTGTCACGATGATTCAGGAGGGATGCAGAGGCCAGGTGGCAGAGAAGGTGAGRAGTCAGACCGGAGTTATCAGCTACAAGCCTCTCCAGGATGTGCCAACAGACAGGGCAGAAGGTGGGGTGCAAGAGAAAGAGGAGCCTCAGGGAGCCCCCGAGGCTGMGGACCTGGGCACCCACCTGTCTCTGGTCCTCAGCTGGGGATGCTGCAGGAAGAGTGGCCAGGACCTCAGAGTCCAGCCTTGTCCATGTGAAGTCTGACAAGTTACTGGACACCTGTGTGGAGACGCACCTAGCAGTGCACACCCCACCCCATCAACGCRAGGGTCAGCTGAGGCTGGTGGCTGCAGAGCCCAGGGCCTGTTAGCACAGCGTGTGCTGTGAACATGGCCTGGGAGTCACTCCTGGCAGAAGTGGGATCGCCAGGACGGAGGGAGCTGCTGTGGGGACACAGGTGATGTGAGGCCAGGGACAGAGGGAGCCACCTGCAAGGACTGGTGATCCTAGTGACCAGGAGCTCAGTAATGGGGTGGGGTGGCCATGGTGGGCTTCTCGGGGTCCTAGCAAGGGCCAGGAGTCCAGTGAGATGGCATTCCAGCCACAGGAAAGTGGGAGAGGGAGGAGGGGAGAATCTGGAGCCCAGGGGCTGAGCTCCAGGAGACGCTGCAGGGAGACAGTGGAGCACGCACTGATGTCCAGGAGAGCTGGACATGCAGAGGGACAGACCTCCCCAGCCAGCCCGGAAGGTGGGCCAGGCTGGGGGGCACCGTCTCATTCCCAGGAGGAGTAAAACTGAGATGGGAGCCCGAGGAGGAAAAGGGCAGCGGGAGGGCAGCAGAAGGCAGGAGAGAGGCAGTGTCGGTGCCAGGAGGGCTGGGAGCTCAGCCTCCCACCCAGCAGCCGGGCAGGGGCCATGCCCCCTGCAGTGCTGCCCCAGCCCAYACGGCTCAAGCCGGGAGGCAGCAGAAGGTGTGTGTCTTCGCCAGTGGCCCACAGGACTGTCATGAGCCCCTCAAGGGCCGCGAAGCTCCGCGAGTCCCACTGGTAACCAGGCTCTGAGGCTGTCCCCATGAAGGTGGGAGGCAGGCGATGGGCCAAGCCTAAGGGAGGCCTCAAGGGGCTGTGGCCCAGGCCCATTCTCCTGGGGCCCCACAGATGTTTGACAGAACAGAAGACCCTGTTCCTCTCTTCTGTGGGGAACACCTGTCCGAGGGTGGCTGTGTCTGCCAAGGCAGAGCAGGGCAGCTGAARCTCTTAATGTACGGGGGTCCCCTGGCTCTCTGTACCCAGGAAGCTGCTGTAGCCRCTTCTTGCTGTGGGATTCAAATGGCTGAAGTAACTCCCTGCTTTCTGAGTCGTCCTTGGCTGTACCTTGGTGTCCTCGGCATCCAGGTGACTGCACTAATGTCTCCAGGTCCCARAGAGAGGGCCAGGCCAGCAATGGCTCTGGGGCATAAGAGATAGATGTCTGGGGGCTGGGGTTGTGGCTCAAGTGGTAGCGCGCTCGCCTGGCATGCGCGAGGCACTGGATT